TATATTAAAAATCCGAAAACAGCATTGTATTCAGCTCGTTAAGGCGAATCTTTCGATATACAGCATGTCCTTGAAATTCCATTTCTAATTTTTTCAAAATTTTCTGCGCGCGTATATTCACAAGGATCAAACATAAAAGACTCCAATAAGCACTATTGGATTGTGCTGCTCCCGCAGATTACCGAGCGCTAAAAACGAACTGAAGAATCTTTTTCGAAAAAGATAGAAGAGCTCGTGAATTCTGGAAAAATAGTGTTGTGTCAAATTTTGCCTACTGTAGCCCTAAAATGAGAAGCTCTCCTGCTAAGCAGATGTGCTTTTCGTAATCAGCAGGTCAGATAACCTCTATGAGCAAGTTTTCCGAGATATTCGGGTTATTTCATTTTTTCTCGGTTTACGCCCTGAAGCTCACCGATGGGTTTTGGTCAAAATGTCGATGATCTTGGATTATAAGGAAACTTCGCTCAAAGAGGTTATCTGACCTGCTGATTACGAAAAGCACATCTGCTTAGCAGGAGAGCTTCTCATTTTAGGGTTACAGTAGGCAAAATTTGACACAACACTATTTTTCCAGAATTCACGAGCTCTTCTATCTTTTTCGAAAAAGATTCTCCAGTTCGTTTTTAGCGCTCGGTAATCTGCGGGAGCAGCACAATCCAATAGTGCTTATTGGAGTCTTTTATGTTTGATGTGCGCTGCGTTGCGACCTTGATACGCGCGCAGAAAATTTTGAAAAAATTGGAAATGGAATTTCAAGGACATGCTGTATATCGAAAGATTCGCCTTAACGAGCTGAACACAATACTGTTTTCGGATTTCGAAGATGTTCATTCTGAAGGAAGTTACGGCTAGTAGAACTTGGAACAGCTTGATTTTTCCAGAGTTTATCAGCTCTTCTATCTCTTTTAAAAGAGAGTCTTCGGCTGCTGTTTAGCGCAGAATAATCTACTGAAAGAGTACTATCGAAGAATGCCCGCCGCAATCTCCTATGTGTGATGCTTGTTGCGTTACACCCACGCGAAAAGGCGTCCGCATGCAAGATTATTGAAAAGAGGATATTGGAGACAACCTGTATACCAAAAGATTCGCCTTGACGAGCTGAATACAATGCTGTTTTCGGATTTTGAATATACTCATTCGGAACGAAGTTATGGCCCTGCGTAATTTGCGTGATTTACATGAATCGCGAAATTTCGGGAATGTCGCGAAATTCCCGGAATTTCGCGAACCCGCGGAATTCTCGGAATTCTGCGACATTTACGGAAATTTTGCACATTCTGTGAGCGGTATTGTATGGAAGAAGCAGTCTAGTACCGAACTCCGTCTACTTTGCGAAGCTTTTTCGCATGAATGCTCTGCTATTGCGAAGTAGCAGATGCCCAGGAGCTTTGGAATGACTTTGCAGTGCCAATGAGCGACGATTTCATGCATCAAGGACTGGGCGAAGAAGAAGCTGTTGCCATAGCGTACTTCGATGTGTCGCGGACAAAATGCTACTCTTGGGAAGAGACCTGCGACAGATCGTGGCACCTCCTTAAAAGAGCGTCCTGAAATTCCAGTTAAAACGATAGATTTTGAACGACACCTCAGCGAAGGAGCGCGCATGTATGAGACATTGAACACCGATCAACGCGAAGCTGCCGATGACATTATCGCCTCAATGGAAAGTGACAGTACAGGATGTTTCTTCATTGATGGTCCAGGCGATAGCGGAAAAACTTATCCATACACAGTTCTCTACAACTTAGCTGTGGGGCAACGCCGCCGTGTGCTTTGTGTAGCGTGGACCGGCATAGCAGCTACTGCTTCCTGGCGGGAGAACTGTAGTCTCCGCGTTCAAACTCGATTGGCTGACGGCAACCGTTCGTCACTGCTGACAATGAGAAGGCAACAGAGAGAGGCCCGAAACCTTGCAAGCACTGATATCATTATTTGGGACGAGATATCTATGGCTCCCAAATGTTCGCTTGAAACCGTTGATACTCTGTTTCGCGATCTCATGCAAAACGACAGCCCGTTTGGAGGAAAATTATTGATTGTAGGTGGCGACTTCCGTCACGTCTTGCCAGTCATTGAACATGGCCGACGTGAAGATGTTGCGGAAGCTTGCGTCACCAGGTCATCTCTATGGCCGCTCTTCAAGATCCACCATCTTCAAAGAAACATGAGAGCTCGAGATGCTGGGAGTGACTGGCACGAGTTTCTTTTGGACATGGGCAATGGGAGCAGTAACTCTGCGAATGGACGTGTTACCCTAGCAGAAAATAGTATTTGCATTGTCACAGAAGTTTTTGGCGAAGTCATTGATGCACAAGAGGCCCTCTACGAGCGAGCAATTTTAGCTCCGAAGAACGTGAATGCGAAACAACTCAATGAAGACGCTATGCAGCGCTTGCGGGTGGAAAGTGGATAGAAAGAGCGGTTTGAACACACGGTTTTAACAAGAACACCCTGCATTCCTATCCGCACTGCATTGTCTTTTTATACCAACACCACAAAATAGGTGGACAGTTGAGATTTATTCTTCAACTCTGTCTTGATCTTCGATCAGTTGTGGCAAAGCATTTCATCCTGTTTACACTGTTTCAGACAAACATTCTAGTGAAGTTCATACATCAATAACAATAACACTTATATGCAGTATTTTTGGTTTTATTTATCAGAATGAGTGAGCTCAGACCTCACTTCAACAATACGAAAATGAGAGGATATGGTGAAAGAGATTAGACACGAGAACCCGCATTGTTGAAAATACCTGGAGTGCAGTGGAGGACCGAGAGGGGAGGGGAAGAGGGCAATGGTGGAAAGAAGGTTATAAAAGTATGCAAATGACTTGGCACTTGTGAAACAATTATAATAGTTGAGAACTTCTAAAATATAAATTACCTTTGTTGGAAAAAATTGAGTGTGCTGCACCCCCTCCCCTCCCTAACCTATTTGATTGCAGGATTATAGACCAACTTAAGAGTAGGAAATCCAGATTTTCGAAAGCGCGTCTCTCCCCCTTCCCCCACCCCCACTGAGCAAAATTTCTCGGACCGCTAAACTGATTTAGTACTTCCTTTTAACAAACCCTATGCTGTGGACGCACTATTCAGTGCACTTTTCATCTATCGAATATACACCTAGACGTTGACGCTTCTGACATTACCTTGCAGGGCTATTCAAGAACTGGAACCAGGGTGCCTTTAAACAGCCCGCTTGATTTAAGTTCTGAACAAAGTCTTCGCGACCTTTTTACAGCTTCTACTATTTCATACTCACTTCTTGTTTATGGGCTATCCCTCAACCCGCGTTAAAAAAAATAGTCTCTCTTTTACCATTCACTCCGCGGATTTCCAAAATTCTGCACAACACACTGTGCGGGTATGCGCCGTGTTTTACTTTGTGGGCGGAGCCTGCGACCCACCCTTCTAGAACCCTTCGTCCGTCCCCTCAAAATCTTCCCCCTTGAGGGCAGTGTCTCGGCAGAATTTCGTTTTCAAGTTTTTCACCTTTTTGGAGCTTTCTCGCTATAAGAAACCTATATTTCTAGCTTTCCAGCGCATAAGAATGCGAAAATGAGTTTTTGCAGCTTTTTAGATCCGCATTCAGTGGGACATAGTGTAAGTGGGGAGAGGAGGGAAGGCTGGAACTAGGGAGTGGAGATGGGGGGGGGGAGGCGCGGCGTTCTCCGGCGTATCTTTATTGAATGCGGACCTGGAAAGCGTTGGAAAAAGCTCATTTATACCAATTCCATGCGCTAAAAGACCCAGATATGGATTCTCCATTGCAAGAAGGCTCCGAGAAGGTGAAAATCTAGAAAACGAACTTCTGCCGAGACACTGCTTTTAAGGTGCCTTCATACCGCGCCGGCAGCGCCGCTGGCAGCCCCTAGCAGCCGCTGGTAGCTTTTGTCATAGAAGCGCAAAACTATCATATTCTTACTATTCTAAGTGGAAACGCCCACGCTTTCCATCTTTCACGCTTTTTCCTTCCTGTTATCAATTCGATCTCATATATCATACTTTTGTCCATTGTTGTCAAAATCTTTTTGCCGGAGACTGGTTATCCAATTAGTGCTCAGTTTCAGTCTCGCAGTTGAACCATATTTCCCCAAAATTTCTTCGGGGTTATTTTTTGAGTATGGTTTTGCTTCAATCATATCCTTGGCCGGTGCTTATCTTAAATTACTCTGTAATGTGTGAGTACTGCACATTAGCGAAAGTGGGAAAAAAGAAGCGTGGAAGATGGAAAGCGTGGGCGGGAGCACTTAAACTAGTAAGAATTTGGTGATTTTGCGCTTCTATGACAAAAGGGTCAGCGGCGGCTACGGGCTGCCGGCGGCTGCTGCGGGCTGCTACGGGCTGCTAGCTGCGGCTGCCGTGCGGTATGAAGGCACCCTAACCTTCCACTTCCCTTCTTTGGTTCGCTTAGTGGAGCAATTTACGATAAGAGCAGATTTTGCACTTCAATGTATAAAAAAGTATGATTATGTAGCAAAAGGTCGGATACAAGTCAGCTAGTATCGACTCTCATGACATTAGCTTAGAAAAAGACAGATAAGTTATTTACGTTTTATAGATCTTCTAATCATAGTATGGGTTCTTTCACGGCTTGTGCACACCAAATCTGATGTCGTTGCCTTTTAATCACAAACGAGGCGATTCTTTGTTTGGGGCACATTTTAAATTACGAGATAGTCTTACAGCATACATCGGTCTGTTTTGACTTGTTCAAGTCAGTGAGGATGTGAGTGAGGATGTCTGAGTGCAAATTAGAATACTGAAACAAACTTTTGGACAGCCTTCTCGGGATACTGGTCCTCAGAAGACATGCAAAAAGGGTAGATGCTTACGGACAAGCCTCAAAATGGCGGATTACGTTCTCTTCTGAACTGGAGTTCTTGACTCTCTCTCTCTGCCATTTTCTGTGTCCCGCCTTGCCCCGGAAAGCGGGATCTCTTTGCTTTCTCCTCCGAAACCATATCCAGCATGACCCTGTTCCAGTTATGTCGCACCCTGTTCTTGTGCTCGAATAGTTCGGTTTTTGGAACGGAAACAAAGAAGAGGACAACAGCAATACCAACATAAACAAATACATATGAGTGCAATAAGCGAAATGGCAAACGTTAAGTAGATGAAGGAGAATAAAAAAGTCAATTTATCACAATAAGAGTTTCCACTGCTGGAATGATAAGTAACTCGAGCGTAAGCCGAGTACACCCATACGATACCAATGAAACACCTGTAATGTCAGAAAGTTATACGTTGTTGTAGCGAGCTCCTGTAAAAAAGCTCAATGGAGTCTCAAAAGCATCAAAAATATCAAAATGAATGTGCCATTATCTCACAGCAAGAGAACACCTTACAGTCTGCATGCATCCTCGGTTTGACACATTAACGATGAGTGATTTGGGTGAAATTACTTATCCTCGAGTTATTTGAGCTTGATGTGGGTAGTGCACACTATGCGCGCTACTTGACAAATTTGAAATTAGAACCCGGCCATTTCCAGTATTCTAACGAAAAAGCTGAACCGGAGCTGAGGAGTGCCCATATGCGTCATGCATTTGTGCCGAGTTAAAGTAGCTCGGCAATTCCTCGACCTAAACTTTTTTTGTTTGATTAGAGTAATTCGATGCGCTCCCTAAAAATCCACTTTAGAAAGCGAAAACCTGCATTTTCCGAGAGACATTGGCCCGTAGTAAACCCCCATTCATCTCAGTTGACCTGAGATTAGTCACTCAGAGAAAGTTCCTAGGCTAAACTTAGGATAGTCAGTCAGCCAGGAAGACCGCCCGGCTAGTGCCACAGTCAGTTCAACACAATACACTTAGCCGAGGGACATTTTGTGTTTTTCTTGCGAATCTTGCTTGATTTATTTTTCAAAAAAATCGCTTTGAATGCAAAGAATGGAAATTTTTTTCCTACCTATTTTTTGAAACTTGTATTTTTTGCCGATATGCATGCCAGAATGTGGTGAAGTTGTTTTATATCCTTGTTTGTCAGGCTAATAGCGATCGTCATCAATTTTTAGACAGTGGTTGCAATCAAAGACTGCCCGGCATTGCAGCAAAGTTGTTGCCTAGAGGTCTCGAACACTGGCCACACTCCTGGAAGTCGAGTGACTTAGCCGTTTGACCCAACTCGCTCATGCGGCATTCTCAAGAACATGGTTATGTCCAAGTGGCGATCCGCATCCAGATTGATAACTCACAGTATGCGGACTAGACGTTCAGTCGTCGTTCAGTCCTTTCAAAGTAGGCTCGCCCCAGCCAAGTTGCGCTGAACAATTGTACGAATGAAGTAGCTCCCGCCAAGGTTGGAAACGCAGAGGAGCTGTTTCGGGACCCCACTGCGGCATACCGGCTCCGACGGTAGCAGGGAAACTGCGAGCTCTCCGAGCGCGTGTTAGAATGACTTGCGCGCAAGGGTTTGGCGAGAGTTTTTCTAGCAGGAGCAGCATGCTGTGGACGTGACTCTTGGTTCTGATATTAACTGTAAGCAAACCACATAGTTCAAAATTCGGGATGTTCAGTTTTGCCAAGCCACTGTCTTTGATATACCGCATTTTCTGTAACAAGCTCTATTGCCATTATTTGACAGACGCTGTAAATAGCTTATCAGCGGTGATGAACGAAATGGAAACCGATATAACTTAACAAAATGGCTTAGTCAGAAACATAAAAAAATAACTTGAAGCGTCAGCTTGGGTTGAGAGTATGTGCGCAAATTTTTATATCCATAGAAAAATGTATGTTTGCGGAAATGTTCAAACCTTTTTTTTACATTTCTAAAACTACGAGCAGCACAATCTAAGTGTTTTACACAGTTGCAAACAGGCTTCAAATAAGGACTTCACGATTTCAAGCAGTTTAAGGTACGTTATGATGACTACAACCTACATTTATCTCATAGCTGGCCGCGACACGAATGCATACGCCGAAAGTATGTTGCATAACGGACCCAATTTTGACCTAAGCGCATGGTTTATAGTATTAGTTCTGTAAGATCAGAAAAGTTCCTTAGACGAATCTGTTTTTATTGAAATATAGCTAATTGTAATCAGTACCACGTCTCCACTAACCAAAGTGTCGAACTTATACTTGAAATATATCGAAATAATTGCTATAGAAAAGTAGGATTATTCAAATTTTTTCCCCTTGCTGCGGATAACTCCCTGTTTATTCACTGATTATCCAAAATGGTCAATAGGAAAGAAGATATAGCTCGAATTTGGCAATAATAAAGAAACTATACCCATCGCTCGTCTCAAACTCCTTACCTCCAAAGTATTCCTAAAAGCAAGAGATTGGGCGGTTTTTATGACACTTTTCCCGCTGTTCTGGCTAATCATGAAATTACAAAAGGTCTCTATAGTGGCTGTGAACCAATAATGATAACCTGCACGTCCCTTCCATCAAACACTGTAAAATGGGACAGACGAACCATATACAGGGTGTTCCCAAAAGATGTGCCTACTTTTTCTAATTGTTAGTAACTCTCTCGTAACTAAAACGTTTTAGAAGCTTTAGATACCATTTTGTAGAGCGAGGTTCAACTTAGATCTACAGTATGGCCAAGTCAATCCCTCTATATTACTATAAGATTACGGTAGGAGCTTTGGAAAGAGTCCAGTGGCCGTATTCATCAACGAAACCCGTGGGTTCCGGAACCCACTGAGTTAGTGCTTTTGATGAATATCGATTTTACTCCAGGAAAGAATCGATATTCATCAAAAGCACTAACCCAGTGGGTTCCGGAACTCACAGGTTTCGTTGATGAATACGGCCACAGGTGTGGCATGCCACACCCCACGCTTGAACCCTGACAACAACCAATTTCTGCTATTCGTTAAAAAAATCTAATTAGGTCATTCAACAGGCTCTACGAAAGCGCAAAAATTGATATACTGAGATCAGCATGCATGAAAACCTTTCTACACAATTTCCACTTTTTTGTAGATTTTTTGCAAACGGCCCAGTGGCGCAGTATGCTGCAATTTCCTACCGTGCTCTTACAGTAATGAAGATAAAGTCTCCTCCATACTCTAAATCTAAGCTGAGGCCAGCTCTAAAAAACCTAAAGCTTTTCGAAGACTTCACTTCAAGTGAGTTATTAACAATCAAACAGTAGGCGCATCTTTTTGGGACACCCTCGCCCGTAGTAATCTACCCTACCTGGTGGCATAATAGATGCCGGCAAGTAGGCACACATCGCGGGAAGTTGCCATCTCCGGCGGAAGCTCGCGGAGTGATTATAAATTCTAATAATCTTATATAACCTTAGTACGCAATCATTTCGCAGATTATATTTTGACGACGAAGACAGCCGCAAAATACATCTCCTACATCGCGCGCGAAACCTAAGTGCGTTAACTTCAACTGCCACCACACTAACCATTCGACCATTTGGTCAATCATTGCCGTTTGCACCAGCAATAGGAGGAACGCACTGACAAGAGGCCGCCTGTAAGAGGAATCGATACATTGCGTGAGAGACTTTGACCTGAAAGAACAGCTGATTGATAAGAGCAAGAGAGGGGGAAGGGGGGAAAACGGTGCAAACGAGATTTAAAAGGGATTGCCGAAAAAGATGGTTTTCTTTATGATTGTAAAGCAGTACTAGATTTTTCTGTAAGAAAATTGTCGTTTTAAAAAAGAAAAACTCATATTATGAGAAAAATGATAGTTTTCGATGGAAAATAGAATTTTTCAAATCTTTCGCCTGACGTAAATTGTGTGATATTGCCGCATCACCCAATTTCACAGACGCCTTCGGCAAAGGTGCCAGCACCACGACGTGGTAGGGGCACGTCGAGATGCCGGCAGCTTCCTCTCTCAGAAGAGCACGCTATTTCTGGTGCTCTCTGAGCTGCCGGCAGTTTGCCAGCAACTGACCTCGCGAAGTTGCCGGCAGCTCCTCCTGCGCTCCTAGATACCTACAGGAGGATTTCTGGAACCGCAAATTTCGATGGAGGTTTCTATAGAGTTGAGGTGGCATCTTCGTCAGGAAATATTTTTTTGGAGAAAGGCCTGGGCGGCCTAAATTTGGGTTTTAGTTTCTGGCCACCTCACGGAAAGGTGCCAACGACCTGCCGACGAGATCTGCCGCCAGGTCGGAGGGATTAGTACCGGCCTTTGCGTGTTCTGAAAGCAGAAAGAAGACAGATCCGATGACCTTCTTATCACCTAATCATTTTCAGAAAACACAATTTTTCAGTTCTCAGCTTATTATGAACACATGACGTTGTGTAACCGATGCAGATTCCCTCACTTCTTGTGCATTTGAAGTGATTTTTCAATCACTGACAGCAAGCAAATCGGGCTAATAACGGATATCAGAAAATGTAAAACTATCATTGATATTTAGCTACATGAATGATCTTTATGTCAACGCTAGCTTGTTTATGAGCGCGCTACACTGCGCTTCCATGTAGTAAACTCCTCTGTTCTAATAGCATCATCAAGGTTGCCATTAGTTTCGCAGACCCTTGCCAGTACTCCCTTTCCCTCACAGTATGGCCAAGCACTAGTGCAATAAATGATAATACGGTACGGGTTGTGAGCTACGTTTGAGCAGGAAAAGCGATATTTCTCATTGTTGCCGATAAAGATCATGAGCTGGAATTATGTTATCATTGATAGGTTGTTAACTCAGTTTGGCAACTTCCTCCATAACTGCAATGTGAGCACAGTGAGCACAAATTGTTTGATTTTTGATATAGATCGAGTATTTTCCCAAAACTAACGCGATCTGGAATTTTACTAGATTACAAGCAAAGATGGAGCGGTTTGCAGCCTAAATCAATCATCGTATTAGGTTGGCACATAAGTAATGCAACTTTTTATATAACTTTTGTCTATTTGAACGTAGCGCATTCATTTTTTGGAAATATAAGGAATATGATGTAGGCTTTTAATGCATACATTTTTGCCGAATTTTACCATCTTATGTGAGGATTACGGTAGGTTTACGGTACTATGGGAAAAATTTTAGAATGCATCAAATTTTGCTGAAACTTGGCCTATAGGGTTATTTGACATGCTGATCACAAAAATGAGGTCCGCTTCGCATGAAAAGGCCTCGTTCGTGAGATCAAAAGATGAATTTCATCTTAGCGACAAATGAATATGATATTCGTGTTTAAAGCATAGGATTACCCTACAGTGCAAAGTTATAGCGAATTCTGACTTTTCGCAGCTTAGTTATTGACAAATTGCCTCCAAAATTGACGCACTTGACTTGTTCAAAGGCGAGTTCAAGTTCTCAAAGGCGCCCCACCTTAATTTGTGTTTGGATTTCATTTCTTTTTCACTGATTCCAATGTGCCAACTTCCAGTTACATGCTGCCTATAATTGCTGTTTGAATCAAATTTCGTAGGGCTTCATGTTTGCCAAAAAATCGTGAAACCTCGATTTTCAGCAGTTTTCAAAAAATGCTTAAATTTTTTGTACTACGTTATCAAAAATCAAACGGTTTGCGCAGACTTGCAGCTTACATCACGATCTACATGATGCCACAAAATGAGATTGCTACATAATGTAGGAAAAAAGTTACGGGAAAAGTTGCAAAACTTATGTACCAACCTAATAATAATATTGAAATTGATACTGGTGTTTATTGCACATGAGGGCGCCATCTCAAGAGCTGCCATTAGGTTTACACGATAAAAAAGCACAAAAGAAAAATCCAGTAGGATAAAAACATCAAAACAGTAATACAGTTGTGACAGTGGAATGTAAAAATTTCGGCGATTCGCCGAATTCGCCAAATTCGCCGAATTCGCCAAGTTCGCCGATGTCGCCGAATTCGCCGATGTCGCCGATGTCGCCGACTTTGCGTCTTTTCGTCATGACTCCCTTCGTTCTCAATGGATTTCAAATTTGAAGGCAGATTTGGATTCAGCTCACCGAGACGAATCTTTTCATGTATTGAACTGCTGTAATCGGCTCGGTCACGGTAAGTGCATGGTAGGAATCCGTTGCATCCTGTGGTGATGTTTTCTAGAGTGTGTATTTCGGCGCATAATGTAGGCAAAGGTTTAAGAAGAAAAGCTGTTTCTGCTGAGTGTTTCCAGCAGAAAACCATATCCCTTTTTGTAGTGGAAAAAAGAGAAAGGAGTACGTGAACTTAGTAAATATATATGAACCACTTACCGTCAAACAAACATAACTATACAGTAACACTATGATTAGCAAAACAATTATAGTCTCTGTGATCAGCATGTCTTGTTGCTTATGTGAGCAAAGTGACACGCCGCATGACTATGATTTTCTGCTTCCAGCAAAACTTCACTTTTTCTGCAGACGCCTCTTTGCAACGCTGTGGGCCAGTCCCTTTCATACTTAAAAGATTCCGGTAAGGCGAATCGGAAAGAGCTGTTTCCGTAAAGAAGAACAACCAAACAACATCAACATACAGAACAAGCTCGCGCTATACTCTCATCAGGACTACAAATAATATTATTGCAGTTGTTTTAGACACGATTACCAGCCGCTCTCTGCCGCTGCGCAAAAGGTTAGGCTAGTACTCAACAGCTTCGCTGCCTCGTTAACTTTTCGTTTAACTCTATGTTGTGGAAATGCGAAAATTTGCCATTTTGCACGAATTACTTTGATTCATAACCTGCACAAGAACAGAAACTGGAGACACCCTTTCGGGTCTGTCAATTCATTTTGATTCAGCAATCTAAGCAGCGAATGTAACACAAATTGCAAAAAATCAGTGAATTGATAGCACTAACGGCTGGGTGGGAAAACCACTCATAATACGTAAAATCTAAAAAAGGGGCAGTCAGGTCCCCAAAAAAATTTTTTCACGAAGCTGATTTGAATTTTTTAAAAATTCTAAAAATTATTGATTATTTACGAGAATAAACATGACTTGAACATTCTTATAACCCGTGTAAGTAAATTTTTAAGATTTTGCGCATTTTCGGAGAGGGGGGAGGAGGCAGGGAAAGGGGGGGGGGCTCGGTCCGCCACTGAGTTGAACAACGCAGCTGAACGCCAAACTAATACTGACATCCGTCAATAATTAGTGAGCGATACCTCAGATTCTGTCGAGACATTTCGTTATAGGGTTACTCTACATGTTGAAAATGAATGTCATATTCATCTGCCGTCTAATTTTTTGTGACTTTACCAAAAAGGCATTTTTGTGCAGAATAGGTATGGATTTCGTGAGCGTGTCGACAAATTTCCCTAGGCCAAGTTTCAGCTGGAACTGTAAGATCTAAAACGATCCTTGAATTTATTTTTACCGTACACAGTAGAGTAGTATCATAGCAGTAGAAAAGTTATGGAAGAGTTGCTAAACTTAGTTGACAGGGTAATATTTTGCGTGGCGTGCCTGCTATATAGATAAGGACGATGCAAAAGAGCCATTCAACAAGTCATAGAGTCATCTTCGTTGCCATTTTATCCACCACTCTTCAGGTTGGCTCTACTCTCCAGTCACTCACAACCACATTCACAACTTAATTCCGTCATTACACTTCATCTTTTGATAAAACGGGTTTCGCGGCTGGAAAGCGGGGTTTCGAGGCCTAATCAAGGCTAGAGAATGATCGGAGCGCACGCTCGCGAAGATAGTCTGCGTGAGGGCGCGAGCGGATGAATTTCAGCCGCCAATTCCGTTGTATCTAAGGATAAGTGCATGAGCATGATTATGGTAAGTGATTACAGCTATCGTTTATCTTATCTTATTGATAAGAGACCGTGAACTGCCTATTTGACTTATTTGACTTCTGTCGATAAGACTCACTCTATTCGAATATTGAAAACAGAGAGAGGGGGCCTTAACAAATCAGTATTAAAAAAAGCTGGACTTTTCAAGAATGCTGATTTTCTTCTTTGGCATTCTGAAATACCCTATTCCCATTTGCAAAGCATTTTTACTGTTCCGAATTACTTTTTCTGTAAATGTGTTTCAATTTGCTTTAGAAGATGTTAAATAAGACGTTGCTGGATCGTCTTTTCGTTAGTGGCAAACTTCGTTCCCACCGATGTAGATTTAGAGTTGAAAGATTGCAGTAAGAAGCTGGCACTCGACCCATCAAAACTTGAGTATGACTTTATTACTTACCAGGTAATGGAGAATATACTGAGCACTACAATGTATGCAACATTAAGGCTGTTGTTGAAAATGCGAGACTTGGCCTGAAAGCTTTCAATATCTTTCTTGATGTGCAAGACCTGTAAGATAGACAGAGCATTTCCGGAGAGCCCTTTAGAGGAGCAAGGTGTTATGTCTATCGACCCCCATCTGATACTGTACAGAACTCTGAACGATTCTTTCAAAGACTGCGCCACGTGTTAAAAGTTCATGGCTCAATAGTAAATCCCCGTAAACTGGCGAGATATGAGTTAGAAAAAAATTTCTAATCAGTCCAGGTGAAAACATAGCATTTTCATATGAACAATACGAAAAATGCTAGATGTAATTTCTTGGTGTAAAACATTATGCGGTCAAAAAAGCGAAGCCCCACGCGAACTTGTGACAAATCACACAACTCTACAAACTTATATCTCAAATTGGCTGTACGCGCAGCGGTACAGTACCGATATATCATTCTCTAAACGTCATATTCTTCTCATGAATCAAAGACCAACATACCAGCTTGAACATTACAAATATGAAGTTGCGAACTAGTCCGACGACGCCAGCAACAATCAACCAATCGGGTATTTTGGAATTCACAAGGCACCTTTTGCGATTCAGTACACCAATTGTTAGCATGGCGATTGGAATGATACTCAGCAACGCTAGTATATAAGCAACAGCCCCTAAATACCGTAATATCAGTGATATCTCAAGTTGGTACGTAGTGCGTAATCAGTCATGTTCCCTATCCTGCGGTATAGGAAATAATATGCGGTAGCAAACATATTATCTGATAAAACAAAGCAAGCTCTTCAAAATCCCATTTTTTCAAATAAGGATATGCTTCTCTTCATGTACACATTTGGTCTCCCTTTCACAGAAAGGAATGTCAACCTTCTGCCATGTGTCAAAAAATTTGACATTGTCTACAATAACAGGTCTTACCAGGAGTTTGTGTTCAATCTTCACTCTGTTTTTAGTCAGCAGTAACCCCTTTTTTGATTAGACAAATCCAAAAATAAACAATCACAATCCAAAAATATAATAATAACGTCATTATGTTATCAGTCAACAGGACTTGCGCAAAATAAAGGGTTCCATCATCTAGGCAGCGAAACAAGCAGCAACGAGGTACTTCAAGCCATTAATTATATCCTTCCTGGCTAAATTCGCATCACAGAAAAGCTGGAATAGAAAAACATCTTTGAATTTCTGATTACTTTTGTGCCGAACAGGTTTGTTAAGCGATATTTATTCTTCTTTCAATCACGGCCCACGTTTCGGTGCCTTCGTTTTTCTCAGAGGCCTGAATGGTTCCAAGTGTTATCTGTGATCCCAGCCCACTAAGCAACTCATCCAATCCCGCCAATCGACCTTACCACAGCCTCATTACCACACCAGAACGTCAACGCAGGAGGACATACTGCAAGAGCACCGCTTTCCGAGAATAGTTTGCACAGGAGCAGATGGTCGCGGCAGGCGATTGAATCGTACTGTAGATACGCACAAAATGATCTACGGCTACAGATCACATAGCGATACGAATGGGAGGAAGTCAGAAGTTACTGATAGACACTCGTTCTTATTATTCATTTCTGGATTCTTTGCAAAAATCCAGAAAGCTTCTAATGTATTCCTAGCCGAGATCTCCGTTTCGTACGTAAGATCTTACATGTGACATCGAAATCTTATTTATTATGCCAAATTCTCTATGCCTTCCAAATGGCGAGCCCATGTTCTTACGCCTCTTATCAGCCAAATCTTCATTCATGCAAATACTTAACATTCTTCCAGTTTCTCCAATAAATAATGCATTGCAGCTTAGGCATTTGATTTCGTGTACGGCTCCCACTTTTGCACAGTCCCCTACTCTACCGTGCGAGCACACTACACATGGCTCCATAGTACAATAAGGGTTGTGGAGCCTGTTTCTTTCATCTTTGAAATATTTCTGAACGCAATAAGATGTTCTAGTGTGAGCTCTAGATTTGTTTTGCTCTTATAGAAAGCACTTGAACAGTTTTTAGGTGATTACAAATACTCTTTACCTGACCAGAAATGACTACGAAAAAACTGTCAGAGAAAGTCGAAACGTATCAATTTTTTTCCTGACATGTGACAGAGAGAAAGCCCTCGTAGAGCCTATGAAAAATAGTTCTTTGACTGAAGAACGTGTTTTGTGCAAGGCTTTTGAAAAAATAATTCGGATAACGGAAAAGTATTGAGAAATCGAAAAATACGTATATTCAAAATTCGCTCAAAAGCGGCGAACGCGCACTTGTTCACGTATGTACTAGGTCATTCCAAAAATAATTTGATTTTCTCTGAAATCAACTTCACCTCCCGCAGGTCAATCGATACAACTTTTCATCCTCTTCTTAATGATTATAATTGCACTGCAGCTTCCAACGAGTCCTCATGAAGTGACCAAAAACTGAAACTCATGATCTTTGCCATGGTCAAATTTTGCACGTTTTCAAGATTTTCATACAGATTTCGATGAATTCGGGTAATGGAGGATGGAAACCCTATAAAATATGAAACAATTTTCCGTCTTGCCATAATTTCTTAACAGGATTCTTATCTTGATGCCTGTGTTGCTCATAAGTGTTTTCGTAGGCTCGTAACTCGGCGCATTTTAAAGACTGGAGCCTGAGTCATGCACCATTCGATAGCACAGTCGCCAGTAACTTCGACTTGGAAAAAGCAAGCAGGCAAGTTTTCCGACAGATACGCGAGAAGTGCAAAAAAAGTTACGCACTTTCGTGGTGCAGTTACAGTCACTTCACCATATCTCTCCAAAAAGACCCTGCAATCCTCAAAAACCACGATTTTCGTGAAGAGCGTGTTCGAAAACCTCTATAAGCGAAGTTTCCTTACAATTCAAGAGCATCAACACTTTGACCGAAATCCATTGGCGAGTTTCCAGAGCGTAAGACGAGAAAAAATGAAATAACCCGAACATCTCGGAAAACTTGCTCATGGAGGTTATCCGATCTGCTGATTACGATAATCACATCTGCTTAGCAAAAGAGCTTCGTATTCTAGGGCTATGGCGAGTAGAATTTGGGACGACAAGATTTTTCCAAAATTCACCAGCCGTTCTATTTCCTTTGAAGAGAAATCTGCAGTATTTAGCACATCATAATCTACAAAAAATTACGATCGAAAGATCCTTGCTTGAATGTACTCGGGACAATGCTCGCTGCTTTACACCTTCGCGAAAAGACGTCCTCAGAAATATTCAAGAATACTGAAATCGAAATATCAACGACATGCTGTATATAAAAAGATTCGCCTTGATGAGCTGAGCAAGGCGCTGTTTTCGGATTCAAAATATACTTATTCCGAAGGAAGTTATGGCAAGTAGAATTTAAAAACACGTAATTTTTCCAAAATTCACCAACGCTTCTATCTCCTTTGGAAAGAAGTCTGAGCTTATTTTTTTAGCGCACAATAATCTACAAGAACAGTATTATCGAATAGTACTTAGTAAAGTCTTCTATGTTGGATAGGCGCTGCTTCACATATTCGCGAAGGGACCTCCGCAGAAGAATTTGAAAAAAAACTGGAAACGGAATATTGAAGACATCGTGCCCCCCACTTCCCATATATCAAAAAATTCTCCGCCAGCTGAATCGAATGGTGGCTTTGGATTCAGAATTCATTCACTCTGAAGTGAGATATGGCCACGCGACGGTGATGCCCATACAAGTAGCGACGTGTATGGATAGGTCGCTACATGTATGGACATGTAGCGACTGTCCATACATGTCCATACATGTCCATAAATTCGTGTCTATTTTCAAAAAAATGTGAGCGGTATTGTATGTATTGTTCTGATCGTCATGACACGAAGAGGAGAACTGCGTCCCAAGCTTTGAAAATCACTCATTAATACGTTGACGACAATGTGCCTTTTTTATTCTGCCCCCTGGGACAACGCCTTCCGCGAACAAGTCGAAAAATTCTTAGCTAGAATCATGCAGATCATCAACTACAGCATACTTACAGTGATCCTATGAAGTAGGCGAAAAACACAAGAGCAATTTTCGAGGTTAGAGTGTAAGAGAACTTCTGTAACGAATGTATTCCAACATAGCAGTCTTTTCACCAAAATTTAGCCATAACCCACCATGTGGGTCACATTGTCCCAAATGGCAGACATTGCATGACCCACCATGTGAGTCACACGTTGTCGTCAATGTGTTAACGAGATAGACCTAGCGTTTCCTGCGCGACTCTCTGTGCAAGATTTAAACACAGTTTCTCGTTTTTATTTAACTCCAACAGCTTTCTTAAACTTCTGAAACTCGACTTAGTCAGACAAGAGGTTAACTGAGAGATCCTGTCCTGATTTCTGGCGAAAAGTTTACAGCCTTTTTTAATGTAAAAAAGGCTATGAAAACGCAAATTCTCGATTTCGCTGAAATAATCTAAGGATATTATTCCCTATACTAGGCTGTTTCAAAAGTTCTGTCCGATTTCATTTGCCCTGTTTTAACGCAGCTGTTTTCTTGGGCTTGTGGCATTGTCATAAACATCGTCTGAAAGTGCTTTTCCTGCTCTTTCTAGTGCTCACTGTGCTTGGCGAATCATCTTTCCAGTGATGAAATGTCAATCCCCGAAGCAAAGTTGCCAAAATGCAGTCGTGCCTAAGAAAAAGTTTCCATGAAGGGAACTTCCTAGGCTGAATATAATGGGTGTTTTAGTATATATTTATTTATTTTATAACGGGTGAGGCTGTAATAGGCTAACATACGCACACTTTTTCTTCTACATAGAGAACGTCTTACTTTTTCAATTGTTATTTCAAAGATAGAAGACAAACTCGGTCATTCAACAAGCGGCAACAATCTACATATAGTGACAGATGATGCATTCAATATTCCATATGTTAGAGCAAAGCGGGAGCAAGCAGGAACCATCGGCCAATTGGCTTTCTTCTTTTGTGAAAGCAAGAAAAAATCAAATATTGGGTCGTTCCGAAAGTTCTTTCCGTTTTTTCAACCTGTCATAAAAACACGAGGAATGAGGATAGAAAAACGCTTCAAGTGCTGTCCGATGCGTTTTTTCTTCCTCTTTTCAAAAGTCATATTTCTGTGTCGCTAGCTCTTGTGGTCAGTGAGATAATGGCCGAAATTTCGAACCCATGGTTTTTACCATGTCCAAATTTAGCAATTTTTCGCAGTTTTCTTTTTTAACTTTTGAAGAAGCTCCAATAGCAATTGGATAGAGTAAACAAAGCAACTTAATGGAATTTTTGGCATCTATTTCTAGCCCTAAAATTTTTTTTAGAATTATTTTTCTGATGCTGTCAAATTCCACTTTTGGTGTTGCCAAGAACCATAGAACACAAAACGGCTCACAACTAAAATGTCATTCGATGCAGCTTTTCCTCTTCTTTCTGTTGAGTATTTTTCTTCCCAATTTGCGGGGGGTTTTGGCGATAAAATCTCCATAACTCTTGATTTTGAACCCGCCTAGGGTGTGCACGTAAAATGCTAAATCTTATATTTCGAAGCGGTAAACACTCAGTCACTTTGTAAAAATAGTGAACAATCATAAACGACTTTTGATAGTGTCAAAATCCGAAGATTTGCTGATGTTCGGAGCGTTTGTGTGTTTTGTGACTTCGAAAAAGTGAAGACTTCTGGAAAAGTTGTCTCAAAATATACTGAGA